CTGTTTGTTCCCAAAGATACGTTGGATTTAGTGTCTTATGCGATAAAGCAAGCAACAGGGACTGATGTAGGAGTAATAACCTTAGACTAGTGATAGCTCTGAACAATTAAATACCTATCTGGACTGACATACCCCTCTACACCATAAATAATTTACAAGAATCATCTCCGTGTACATTTGAGAAGCTCATAGTTTGAATGTGACGGTGACGTCGTGCTCAGTGTAACATGATGTGTGAAAAGTCACAGCGTGAAGTATTTCCAACCTGCCATGATAAGCTCAAAGCAGGCTACATGCCACCAATTCGCTTTTGGTGACTTTATTAGACTAATATCTTAGCAGCAAACTGGCCGGAGAATAGTTTAAATCTTCCAGAGATATTTAATACTATCAGTTACATATAAAACACTTGTTTAGCTCCTTGAAAGCTGGCAGATGCTGGGTAAAGAGACGAAGCTACCCTGAGGCTGACTTGGATGGTCTAAAAACAGTTTAGTGGAGACCTGAAACACTGAGTTATCGTGCCTTGAGTGGTCAACCTAAACCATAGACGTCATAGCGCAAATCAGGGATGAGTCATCTGTTGTCGTCATCGCCAGGCTGATTGGCTTATCGCTATCAACAGGGGCCCACCGGATGCTACCACGCGGTTTTTCAGGCTCCAGTAGCATTGACAGCTCACCATGCATAATAAATAAAAGACCCCGTCCCGAGTGGAGACACTTGAAAAATAAAACCAACCTCTTAATATTCCCGACCATTCGTGTCCAACCCTATTCACGCCAGCCTCAAAAGACATGACAAGCAGACAATACCTCATATCTGCACTCAGGACAGAAATCGAGATTGCATGAGATAAATCAAAATACCCACCCATGGCATCGCCTGAATCGCTCTAAACACGTGTCCCCACCCGTTCCCCTCACTTCATGAGCTCACTCTACCGACCCTCCACCAGAAGAGAAGCCCAAGCTGCCATGGCCAAGCTCACCGCCGCTGAGCGCGCCGCTCACGAGGAGGGGAATCTTCACATGCTGCGCGCTACTATCGAGCGCACTCTCTGGCATCTTGATCCGCACAGTGAATTGGCCGCTCATTTGCGGGAGACCACCAAAGAAATCAGACGACATACCCTTGCGGGCTTACTTCCAAAACCCAAACCAAAATCACAACAGAAATCATTACCTTACTCACCACAAGAAGAATCAGAGGAACCAGAATTACCTCGGCTTTCTGTACCGCGGCAGCAATCACCAGCTCGTGAACCGCAAAAAGTCCTCACGAATGAGGGCAGCAGATATCAGCTGCGCGATAGGCAGGATCACGTGCCGATAATCGAGCTTAGCTCTGACGTATCCTCGGAACTGTCAGACGAGCCCATTTACGATTTCGACCATGCGCCCGACCAAGGCGAGAGCGCATCGGCCAGCGACATGAGCACCTTGGCAAAAGAACACCAGAAGCCAAGTCGAGAGATGCCAGTAGAAGAGACACCAGCCGAGGAGGCGCAGACTCAGGAAATGCCGACGCATGAGTCCAAAAAGCGACCTGCCGAGGATGACGGCGAAGACGACGCGTCACCAGTCTCAAAACGCGTCAAAGGCTGGCTGACGCATATCACAGGCGGATACATGTGATTTCCTCATTCTCGCGATTATAAGTGATACGATCTGGACACCGATCACGTCACCATCAAAGAATACCCTACCCGCTACTACATTTGACTGCATTCTGGAAATGCAGCATTAAAGCTTCGAGGCTTACAGATGGAAAATCTGGGTTTGGGCATAATGTGCAAGTTATACTATACACTGTTTTATTGGATAACAAGATGTAAAGGACTGCTAGGGCTTGTCTCGGACGAACTAGGGTTGGGAATAGAAAACAACAGGAATGGCTGCATCAGAAGATGGGGAAGAGATTGAACGGGATACCCTTATGAGGCTTGGTGGATAGCTAATGTATTATTTGACTTCCAATATGAGTCGGTGTTTTATCTAGTGCAGTCATGCTTCGGACCCTCCGTTGTATATCTGCATGCCTCAAATCCTGGGTGAGAAATCGTGAGTTCCAAAAGTCGGTCGCAGTTTTCGCGTCGACCTTAAAAAGCACAAGTATGTAATAATGCGGCACGGTGGTTTTCTATCCATTTCTAATGCACAGGCTTCTGGCTGAGAGTGGAATAAGCCCTAGGCAAAATTTCCTGGCTGGTTGTTCTCAGTGCGTGTCGGTCCTCGGAGCTCGGCCTTGGCTGTCAGCACCATCTGCTGACAGCTTCATTTCTGGCCCAAACAACACTTGTGAAATCCCAGACTCGGCGCTCAAAGTTGAATCCAATCGACGCATGAGCTAAATCCAGACCGTAATGTCTAGTCCACTCGTTACTCGGCGTAACGGCAAGAAGCAAGCATGCGAGCCCTGTCGGCGCCGAAAAGTGGCGTGCGACCACGGCTATCCAATCTGTCGCCGGTGCAGAAAACGGCCGAACGGTGCATCTGCGTGTTACTATGCATCGCCTGAACAATCAGCGGACCCCTTTCGAGCGAGACCTTCTCAGCGACAAGTCTCCGAAGCATCGGCCTTGAACTCCGAGGCCGCAGTCCCTCCAACCCAGACCCGGAATTTTGGGCCTGATGATGGGTTATGGAGTTCACCTGCCGCGAGAGCACCACAGGGCTTCTTCGGGCCCACAAGCTTTCCGGCGGCGTACCAAGAGACTGAGGCAAGTTTGGCCGCACAAGGACCGGCACTGGCAGTCGTTGACATACCTTCTTCACCAACTATCTCAGCTCCACCATCGGTGGCCGAGATACAGAGTATTGTGGATATGGACCAAGGAGCAAGTCAACTTGCTGTCAGAGTACTCCAAACCTTACCCGAAAAGCCGCCCATGTATAGATCGAAACCTGAAGCTAGCCTTGATGAGGACTGGCTGGCTAGTATTGGTGATAGACTCCTAATCAGCACCTGGGAGACATTCGGGTCTCATCTTAGTGACAGAGCAAACACAACCAAGCTGCGCGAAATGGGGAGTAGAATATGTATCAACACACGAAAAACGCTCAGGGAGGACCAAGATGACCCGGCTGCATGGATTCAAAGCTTCTCGGGAGAGAATCTACGCTGGGAGACTGTTGGTGTTATCTTCCTATACACAGCTTTGAGCGAGCTGACAGCTACTTCGAATGAAGAGTCGAAGAGGATAATTCGCCGGTGCACTGAGTACTGTGCTTCATGCATAACTCTTGCAAACATGGGCGGGAGTTCGGGTACTCTGATGTTGTTTCTGATGTACAAGCGATCTGTTCTTCATGCATGGATGCACGGTGAGACCAGTGAGTATCACAGACATCTCTTTGTGTATAGCTGGCTCTAACTAGTGTAGGCTTGCCGTACTGGAAGTTTCATGCAGAGACAGTTGCGATGTTGACGTTCTCTGGACTCCACGATAATCGGGCCAAGTCATCACCGCATATGTCATCGGTACCTACCGAGATCCGCAGGCGTATCGGATGTCAGGTCTTCGTGGTCGATAAATTCCTGGCCACCTTTGTTGGACGACCGCCTCTTCTTACGAGGAGATTCTGCTCTATCAAGTCACCACTTGACCTAGAAGAGTCAGCCTTGCTCTCGGACAAAGAAAACTTTCAGAGGAGGTCTCAACTCCTTGATCAGGACGGATGGAACACAGATGGTCGTATCTACTCGAGCTCGCTTTTGCGTGTTCGCATGATGATCGCGCTTGCCAGAGACGAGATCCTCGAAGTTGTGCTCGCTCAGGATGGAGCTTACGGCATTACAGAAGTCATGTAAGTGAGGCCCTATGATCAGATGCTTCTGTATCTAACCATTCACTTACGGATAGGCAACTCAAAACTAAACAACTGGATCTTTATGGGCAGCTTCCTCAACATCTGATCTGGAACCCAACAGCAGAGGAGATAAGCGAAATAGACCTTGAGATCGGTTATCCAAAGCTACTGATAAGACTAGACCATTTACTCAACATGTTCCTTATCCAACGGTTGTTAGCCAAGCACGGTCATCCAAGAAACGAGCTTCTCAGAACCAGTTTCGAGATGGTGGTTTTGACGCTGAATTTCTGGGCCCAGAAACACATCTGGGCTGCTTTACAAGGCAAATGCCGATGGATAGTAAGTCAACAACATTTCACCTCCAGCTGAAATGAAGCCGGCAATCCTGGTCTAACGCCGTCCAGATCATGGGATACGCGACCCTCGCCGGAGCCGTCCTGTGCATGGAACTCATCGAACCCACCCCAGTGATAATGCCAGCGCATGATAGCATCACTGCTGGCGAGACATATTCTCGATCATCAATCATTCAACAACTCAGTCTTCTGTTGGGATATCTCAAGACTTCCTGTCCATCGCAAACACACTGTTCGGTTGCTCATAATGTGCGAGGTGTTATTAAGAAGGTCCTTGATCATATTCTGAATAACCCAACTCTCACCCAACCGGTAGCCGAGCTTGGTGGAATCGACTTTGCGGGTAGTTGGGATCATTTTTCGTACTTTAGTGCGTTGGATAATTTTGACTGGCTTATGGAGGAGCGCGGGATCGACGAGCAGTCTGGCATGCTGTAAATACCATCAATCCGAATTTAATCAACCTGTTAGAGTCTATAAATGTTATTATGATAGAATCGCGGTCAATTCCTAACCTCTTCGATATAATATTTTAGTAATTTGTAAGCAAGTTGGCGTTGTTCGGTGCTCGGTTCTCGACCTCGGTTCTCAAAGCTGACAGCAACACGACTTCACTTGCACCGACACGACGGCGTACCCAGTAACGACGTTTTTGGCTAAGAGGCTCAGTTTAATTATAAAATACTTCCGAGCTGATAAATCAAGCGACAGGGACAGAATGGTGTATATAAGAGTGCACGATCACAGCCATCAATGTCTCATCAAATCACAACAACAATTACCTGACTCTCTCAGCACACCATCTAAAACTTCGAACCCCTCTGACAACATGTCCCTCCCCAAGACCTATAAAGCTACATCTTTCGATGAGAGTGGCTCAAAGCTGACCCTCAAAGAAGTCGAACTTCAACAGCCTGGCCCAGGCTTCATCTTGGCCAAAGTTCTCGCATGCGGCATCTGTCACTCTGATTCCTGGGTGCAACAAGGTCGCTTTGGAGATTTATTTCCTCGTGTACCGGGTCATGAACTCGTTGGAGATGTCGTTGCTGTCGGTGATGGCGTGGCCAATTTCAAGGTGGGCGAGCGTGTTGGTGGTGCCTGGCATGGCGGTAAGTCCCTGCACTTTTAAAAATTTATTATGGTGGTTGGCTGATGACGTTATGACAAGGCCACGATGGCACATGCCGTTCCTGTCAAACTGGATCATTCCAACTTTGTGACAACGGTGCTATCAACGGCGTGACCATGGATGGTGGCTACGCCGAATACGTCCTTCTTCACGCCGAAGCTGCCGTCCGAATCCCCTCCGACGCAGACCCTGCGGAAGTCGCCCCTCTCCTCTGCGCTGGAGTGACCGTCTTCAATGCCATTCGTAGGATCGGGGTCCTCCAAGGTGGTCTGGTAGCTGTCCAAGGTCTAGGCGGACTGGGTCATCTGGCGCTTCAGTACGCCTCCAAGATGGGATACACCGTCGTTGCCATGAGCGCTGGGAGCGAGAAAAAGGACTTTGCGATGAAGTTGGGCGCCCATCATTACATCGACTCCAGCAAAGAAGATCTCTGCGAGGCGCTGCAGAAGCTTGGAGGGGCTAACATGATCCTGTCAACGGCCCCGAATGCAGAGGCAGTCAGTCCTCTCACAGGGGCCCTTGCGGCTCTTGGTAAGCTGGTCGTCCTCTCACCTCTTGGACCGGTTGAGTTTAATACGGTTCACATGATCATGAAGAATCTCAGTGTGCATGGATGGAACACGGGACATCAGCAGGATTCGGAGGATGCTATCGCATTTGCGCATACGCATGGCATCAAGTGTATCATTGAGAAGTTTGACTTTGCGACTCAGCACCGAGAGGCCTTTGAGAAGATGGAGAGTGGAAACGTTCGCTTCAGGTCTGTTATGACTATGTAGATATCTCTTTTGTGTTGGTTTCCCTCATTTCAAACGCGAAATGCGAAATAGCTTGGACGTCGGGTTTGAATTGCGGGGCGTTTTCGGGGATCAGTGCCGAGCTCGGAGCGATGGTCTTATCTGTATCACGAAAAGCTATCAACTGCCGGTTCTAGAACCACTAGCTCCGTGAAGATTCTCCTTTGAACGAGGCATTTTAGATTCTCAATTCTTATAAAATATCCAAATTTGTTCTACAATCACAGGGTAACTATTGAGCATTATGTATTGGGAGACTACCGTGAAGCAGAAAAGGGAGGATCGTGATGGTGCCATCCAAAACTGCGAGGCTCAGCTCTCCGCCGTTGGCGATGAAAGCATTGTCCCAGAACATGCCGATATTTCCTCCCTTCTCGAACAATTGAGGACGGGGAAGATGACAGCAGAGGAACTAGTCTCTGTTACGATCCGCAGGTAAATCTCTCACTCCACTATAGGCTAGATGCCAATTGTTAACTCCTTGGCAGGGCCATAGCTTCACACAATGAGGTTCGCATAAAGTATGCCCATCGATGAATACGACTGATATGCTTTAGACAAACTGTCTCAGCGAACCTTTGTTCGGCAGTGCACTTGAACGCGCGAAAAGCCTCGATGAGTACTTCCAGAAACACCAAAAACTCATTGGTCCTCTTCATGGCATTCCGGTCTCGGTGAAAGACCAGTTCAACGTCGTTGGCGTCGATACTACGCTAGGCTATGTCGGCCGCTCATTCAAGCCCGCCAGCGACAACGCCGTGATGGTGAGCATTCTGGAGAAGCTAGGTGCAGTCATCATAACGAAGACAGTTATCCCCCAGAGCATCATGTATGGTGAGACTGAAAGCCCTCTTTGGGGACTGACTACATATCCTGGTAGACCCGAGCTTTCACCAGGTGGCTCGTCAGGTGGAGAGGCTACTCTGATGCGAATGTCTGGATCACTTGGGGGCTGGGCAACTGACATTGGAGGCTCAATTCGCGTTCCAAGTCACCTATGCGGTCTTTTTGGGCTAAAGCCTTCGTCTGGTCGGTTCTCATACTCCGGTGCAGCAAACTCTCATGAGGGACAGTCTCATGTTCCTTCATCAATTGGTCCCATGAGTCCATCGCTCCCGAACCTCATCACTTTGACCAAGCAATGTCTGCTAGCAGAACCATGGAAGCTTGATCCGGGCGTCGTCCCGATTCCATGGCGACAGGCCGATTTTGAGGGCGTGCAGAAGCGAAAACTCACCATCGGCATTATCCTTGACGATGGAGTCGTGCGACCTCATCCAGAAATCCAAGAAGCCGTCCGCCGCGCAGTGGCAATCTTCGAAAAGGCAGGGCACAAAGTTATTCCGTGGAGTACAGCAGACCACTCAAGCTGCATAGAGATCCAGGACCAGTTCTACCGTGCAGACGGTGGAGAGGATATCAAGACCGAAGTCGCTGTTGCAGGTGAGCCGATGATTGCCCATGTCGAGGCCCTTGTCAACTCTTCCAAACCGATATCGGTGTATGAATACTGGCAACTCAACCGCCGAAAGACGGCAGCACAGGAGGCTTACAATACGAAATGGACTACAACTGCTGGTCTAGAAGATGGAGAATGCGTCGACGTTATAATCAGCCCTGTATCGCCTCATACAGCTGTGCCGCACAGGTCGAGCAGATGGACTGGCTACTCCAAGATATGGAACTTTCTCGACTACACAGCCATGTCGTTCCCATTTGCAAAATTTGGTAGCCCGGGAGATCCAACATCGTCTAGTATACATGTCGCTGCGGCTGACGAAGCACGCCAGAGTTATCTACATGATTATGCGCCGCGCAATACGATTGATGAGTGGATAAGGGGACTCTACGATCCTGAAGCGATGCAAGGGCTTGATATTGGAGTACAGATCATTGGGAGGAGGTATGAAGAGGAAAAGGTGTTGGGCGTGGCGTCACTGCTAGAAAAGCTCATCCAAGCTTCATAGAGTTTGTTCGCGGAAGTTACGGATACAGGGTATGGACATGATGAGTAGATATCTCAGAAATCACCTCATTGCCTCACTATTATTGCACAGTGTTCTTATTACCCACCACTTCCAATATAGCAATAAAGACACCCAACAACGAACCGATGAAACCTTGAGACTTTCGACCTAAGGGGTTTACGAGTCACTAGGTTACATGTTTGGTTCATATCTCCGTCAAGTAGAGTTCTTACAGGGTAAGACGAAAGTCTATTTCAGCAATTACAGTTTACACGAGTAAGGATCCTGCTCGGAGATATTCATTTGATACGCCGCAAAAGCCCGAGAATAAAGTGATCTCCAACAAGCCGAAGTCTATCGTCACGATTACCTTTGATGGTCTTTACTACTGCGACGGCTTCATAACTCTATCTACCGCAATTGACTATAAATTCCGCCATCAGCGGAGAAATCCCGCGCCTTGAATGTCGCCATCTCTCCTAACCGCGATAGGAAACCCCTAAACCCACGGACAAAAAGGTCCCATCGTCTACCTGCTCTATCAATCGACATACATAACCGTAGAGCAGATTAAAATTACGGATCAGGCAGCGGAGTCGCGGCACTTGGATAAGAGTCCCACGGGCTAACGTCCCCCATTTGATACTGAACCCGCGCGATTGCAACGCTAATCCCTGCAGTTCCCCTGAGCGCCAAGTCCAGCATCTAGACGCTCATTCGATCAGCTAGTCCGATCTTCCATGCGCTAACTTTAATCTGGTAGGTCTGTTGATAAGAGCGAGGGAACTTATGGTAATTGCTCTGGAACTTCTGGAGGTCGTTTGAAGCATTTATGGGAGGTCATGCAGCTTTGAGTTGGTGTCGCTGGGGGGCATCACATGTTCCTGCATATACTCCGTAGACGGGGTTGCTTGATCTGGACATATACAGATATTCCAAAGAGGGCGGGACACTCCGTGTAGCCTATATAATGTTGTGATAACGCCGTTGATCTGCCAAGGTCTTCTCTTCAACCACTCGCTCTGGTATCCTGTCACTCTTTGGCTGCTCCACACTCTTTATTGCATTGTTTGTCACTCTTTACAAGTCACTCTTTATATCACACTACACACATTCATTATGGTCCGTCTAGGATTGACGGCTCTGCTTTTCGCAGGGCTGTCCGCTGCCGTCCAAGACACTGAGCAGGGTACCGCTGTTACACACGTCCCAGGTGCCTACATCTTCGAGTTTGAGGAGAACCACGTACGCATCTCATCACCAACTGTCGCTTCGCTGCTAACAATAGTAGGATACTGCCAAGTTCTACAGAACTGCTGATGACAAGTACACCACCCGCGTCAAGTTCGACTACGACCTGTTCAAGGGCGTTTCTATCCAGTTTGACGATGTTTCTACCGCTGAGGACATGGCTGCCAAGATGGCGGCTCTTCCCGCTGTCAAAAACATGTGGCCTGTCAAGGTCTACAGCATTCCTAAGCCTCGCATTGAGTGGACTGCCACGCCTGGCATGAAGGCTCCTCTCAAGAAGCGTGATCTGAATGATACTGCTGATACATTCTCACCTCACGTTCAGGTCCAGGTTGATAAGCTTCGGGAGAAGGGTATTACTGGCCATGGTATCAAGGTCGCTGTTGTCGACACTGGTGTAAGTCTTATACTCTTGACTTTAGATCCTGGCTGACATCATTAGATTGACTACAAGCACCCTGCTCTTGGTGGTTGCTTCGGTCCTGATTGTCTTGTTTCCTTCGGTACTGATCTTGTTGGTGATAAGTACGATGGCTTCAATGCCGTCTACCCCGATGAGGACCCCATGGATTGCCAAGGCCACGGATCTCACGTCGCTGGTATTATTGCCGCCCAAGAGAACGAGTACGGTTTCACTGGTGCCGCTCCTGGAGTCACTCTTGGCGCCTACCGTGTCTTCGGATGCTCTGGAGAGGCCGGCAATGACGTTCTCATCGCCGCTTTCAACCAAGCTTACCAGGATGGCGCTGACATCATCACTGCTTCTATCGGCGGCCCCAGCGGTTGGTCTGAGGAGCCCTGGGCTGTCGCCGTCTCTCGCATCGTTGAGAAGGGTGTCCCTTGTACCGTCTCTGCCGGTAACTCTGGTGATGTCGGTATGTTCTACGCCAGCACTGCTGCCAACGGTAACAAGGTCATGGCTATCGCTTCCTACGACAACAGCGACTACGTCTCTCTCCTCAATATCTCTCACTACACCGTTGACAATAGCAGCAAGAAGATCGACTTTGGTTCCACTGCTGGCAGCCCTGCTGCTTGGGGCGACGTCACTCTTCCTCTTTGGGCTCCTAACCTGGACCCTACAGTTCCCAATGGCGGCTGTGACGCTTACCCTGAGGATACTCCTGATCTTAGCAAGTACATCGTCTTGGTCCGTCGTGGAAGCTGTACCTTTGTTCAGAAGGCCCAGAACGCTGCTAAGCATGGTGCCAAGTACTTCCTCGTCTACAACAACGCTGCCAGCGGTGCTTCAGCCATTGATGTCTCGACCGTTGAGGGTATCGTTGCTGCCGGTATGGTCCCCGCCAAGACTGGTGTCAAGTGGGTTGAGCTCCTCAAGGCTGGATCTACCGTCACTCTCGAGATGTCTGATGGCTCTGATGGAAAGGTCATTCTCGAGGAGAGCAAGAACAATGTTACCGGTGGCGCTGTGAGCACCTACTCTTCCTGGGGTCCTACCTGGGAACTCGATGTCAAGCCCCAGTTTGGCTCTCCTGGTGGAAACATCCTCTCGACCTACCCTCTCAAGAAGGGTGGTTATGCCGTCCTTTCTGGAACTTCCATGGCCTGCCCCTTGGTTGCTGGAGTTATTGCCCTAATTGCCGAGGTCCGCGGTACTCTTGACCCCGAAGTCCTCGAGAACCTCTTGTCGTCCACTTCCAACCCTACTCTTTTCAACGACGGTGCTAAGTTCTACGACTACCTTGCTCCTGTCCCCCAACAGGGTGGTGGTTTAATCCAAGCCTATGATGCTGCGTACTCTACCCTCCTCCTGAGCCGCTCTAGCTTGGCTTTTAACGACACCGACCACTTCACCCAGGTTCTCAACTTCACTCTTCACAACACTGGTAAGACAGATCTCGATCTCAGTATCTCTCATGTTCCTACCAAGAGCGTCTACACTCTTGCCAAGGACAGCATCTATGCTTCTGAGTTCCCCAACGATGTTGCCGATGGCCACGCTAGCCTCAAGTTCAGCGAAGCCAAGGTCAGCGTCGGTGCTGGTGACTCTGTTACCATTGAGGTCTTGCCTACTCCTCCTGAGGGTCTTGATGCTAAGCGTCTCGCACTTTGGTCCGGATACATCGCCATCAACGGAACTGATGTCTCCCTGTCTCTTCCTTACCAAGGCCTCACCGGTTCTCTCCACGACTCCAAGGTCCTCGCCTCTGACGATACCTGGATCAGCAAGTCCAACGACAAGGACGAGCTCAACCCCGTTCCCGCCAACACCACCTTCGTTCTTCCCGTCAAGGGCCAGAACGCTACTGACGAGAAGCCCGCTCCCGCTCTGGCATGGAAGCTCGCTCTCGGATCCGCCAAGCTTGAAGCTGAACTCATTCCCGTTTCTGGTAACTCCACTGCCAAGAGCCTGGGAGCACCTGCTGGCTTCCCTACTTTGTGGAACCCCATGGGCAAGGGCTCCGTTGTCTGGAATGGAAAGTTGGCCGATGGAGGTTACGCACCTGCTGGAAAGTACAAGGTTGCTTACAGGGCTCTGAGAATCTTCGGTGATGAGAAGAAGGAGAGTGATTGGGACAAGTCGGAGTCACCCGTCTTTGGTGTGAGGTACCCGTGAGTATCATGATAGCTCGGAACATTATGAAACGACTTTGATGTCAGTACGGACAGCGGTGGTGGATGAAATGTAGCTAGCAGTCATTTGACCATATCATTCATTGTTAATGGAATCTCTTTATGTCTTCACATACTATCCAGTCTTCTCAGCCTCGTGACTTCCAACCTCCAGTCCTTCTCATGTGGCGGCTATTAGATACCCGAGTCATCCTGGAAGATATGGGCATTCCAGAGGTTCGTATCATTCTTGAACCACTTATTCCAGTTATCGCAGACCCTGTTCACCTCCTTCATCTTCTCAGGATACTGGTCCAAGATCCTATTCAGCAACTTCTGTTGTTCCAGGATCTGAATGGCCAGACCACTAGATGCATGCCATGCGATATGGCAGTGGAACAACCAAGAACCAGGGTTGTCAGCCTTGAAGGCAACGACAAGATATCCTCCAGCTGGAAGAAGTGCCACGTCTCGACGAGGAGGGTTGTCGAACTTAAGGTTCACCTTGCCTGTGTCCAGGTCTGAGAAGTTTGTACCTTGCGCTAGAAGGGCAAAGTCGTGGCCGTGAAGATGAAGCTAGTACAGGTTAGACTCGGACGTCTGTAGAGTTGGGTTGTGACTTACAGGATGAGCAACAGGAGCAAAAGCTCTGTTGGGCTTGGTCTTCATCGGAGCTGGAGGTGCTGTGATTGCGATGTAGACCCATTTATCCTTCTTCTCGTCAGGTACAACGAGATCAACGGCGTAGTCAGGATTCCATGTAGTGTTCTTGAGGTTCAGGATGGTAGGGTTGGAGAAGTTGAGCCAGAGTGGGTTCTCGCCAAAGGCCCACCAGGTGAAATTGTCCATCAGCTCGGGCCTGTGAGCAAACTTGGACAGGCCAATATCGAACTGGCTCTTGGTGTCTAAGTCAATGTTAGAGGTATCATGCAGTGGTGGGATCGCCGGCGACTTACAGTTGATCTTGACCTTGTCAACATTCCACTCATAGACTGGGCTGAGTCGATCATAGGCCTCATCTCGACATTCCAAAGAGTAATTCTCCCGGAATGTTGTCGGAACAAGTTTGCTTGATGCATTGTACCGTAGGATGCCTTGTCGCTCATCGGGCTCATTACCCGGCTCGAAGCCCTTGCAGCCAGTTGCTCCAACGGTTCGGACCCAGTAGTTCCCGTCTGGGTTTGCAGGCATTTTCGTGGTGTTGGTGGGATTGGCATCAAGGACAATATGGTACCTCTGACCTGTTCATACCGGTGAGAACGACTACAACCGATCGTGATGAGGAAATATGCTTACCGATTCCTAGGACAAGGTGAGATACTGAGTAAGGTTGGATCGGCACAAAGTCGGTCGACATAACAGTGAAGTTGTGATTATCAATGCTGAAGATCCATGTTGTGTCGACGGAAGTGTTGATCACACGAAGAACATACTTCTTGCCCTGATATACGTCAGTTTTGGCATATGATTCAGTGTAATCGAATAACTAACCTTGGTAACTGTCATGTTGAATCGCTCGCGAGGGAAACTACCAGCAAAGTTCCCCACGCCATTGATCAGAACACCATTCATCATAGGTCTTGTAGGATTCGGCACCAACTCTCTCTGCCACGACTGGAATGCACTGCGGTGACTCCAATCTGTGATAAGAATTGGGTTTCGTCCCTCATCGAATGGAGCAGAAGAAGGCCCGTAAATAGTGATAGGGCCAGCCAAGCCATCAGCATACTGCAGAGAATAATGGCTATGATACCACGATGTACCGTATTGCACAGCACGGAAGGTGTAAGTATAACTGTCTCCAGGAGCAATAGGGCATTGAGTAACGCCGTTGACACCGTCCATCTCAAAGGTCTCAAGCTGACGTAGACCATGCCAGTGAATGGTTGTACCGTTGTACTTGAGATGGTTGTGGACAGTGACCTTGATCAAGTCGCCCCAGCAGGCCTGGATCCAAGGGCCGGGATACTTGCCATTGAAGACCTTGCCAAATGGGTTATCGACACCATCGCCGTTGATGGATTGATCAGTGACATTGAGGTGATACTGGTCTCAGTCAGAAGAGCCCAAGTCAATGGAGATGTATGTGACTTACCTCTCTTGTGATTCCAATAGGCCAGAAGTTCTCATAATCTGTTTTGGTTGTGAAGTTCTGCCCGTATGGACCCTTCAACCAACACGAGCGATCATCTTTAGTTGTGCATGGCTTCCAGCCCTTGAGATCAGTGTAGTTGCACGTGAAGACCTTGCCATCCTGGTCAGGGCCACTTGGTGATTCGAAATATGGGTAGTCAATCTCTGGTGTGGAGTGACCGTGGGTGAAGGTCATGACATCTTGATGCGGCCCCTCGTTGGAGACGGACGGGTAGTGAAATACCGCCACAAAGGACAAGACGACAGCCTTGCAGGCGTCTGTAATCCACATCTTGAATGAAGTGTCTTGACAATAATATGGTATCAATTAGTCAATTGACTCAGAAACAGAACATCAATTACAGAGCTAGAATGACGAGTTCAAAGGAACGCAGGACCATGGGCGACTCGCTTTTTCACTCCGTCCACGAAAACTCTCTTGTCTCGTCACATATCCCATTCCTGTACGTGACAAGCCACTTTCTTCAGCCGTTGTCCAACCCAACGCCGATCACGCCAATCATTACGCGCCGAGGATCAATACTTTGCGAAACTATCGTATTCCTAGCAGAATGGCGTTTTTACTGAGGTTCATCAGCGGGTGCGGGGGATGCGCCACTTGTATTAGTGCTGAGCTGAAATACCTTGGCTAGAGAATCTGGTCTAGCGTCGCAGGGGAATGAAGCTGTTTTCAGGTCGGGCGTTGCTGATGGACTCTTTTGGGGAACGGCATTGAGAGCAGAGCGCACCGTGCGTCGCGCCGTGCCGTTCCGGGCCGTATGGTTCGCTGGACGCGTTGGTTTGAGAGGGGCCTTGATGGTGCTGTCCTGTCTTCAGCCAGCCACGAGTTGGGCCTGTCAGCAAGGGAGGCATAAGCGAGAGGGGACTTTGGACATGTCGTCATGTCTCATTCTCTTCGCTTGTTGCACTGCTTCTGTCTTTTCGTCGATATTCCGAGAATCCCCTGTAATGGCTACATTGGCTTGAACTGCTGTTTTGCGGTGATTTCCTGTGACACGTTCCTCATAGAAAGCGTTGGTCACGAGCCACGCCGACGACGCAAGGGAGACGGTTCTGGCGTTAGTGAACTAGGCTGGACAATAGATCAGCCACGAGCTTGCTGGCCGCTCTAGACTCTCTGCACTAAGAGTGAGCCAGTTCATCGCTGGCGTCAGTGCTATCTCGAGTGATCTCTATTTATTCAGCACATCCCCAATACCTAACTACGTAGTCAATTGCACAACCTCTATTATCCCAAGTCGTTTTTTCCTAACTCGAGTATCCTTGATTACATACAAAATGGACTCTCTGACAAAAATCGTCAACGGCAGGGTCGTCACCAACACCGATGTTCGTGCCGCATCATCGTGTACCTTCTTAGGGTTAGAAAGCTGATGCTCGACAGGTCAAACCCCCCAACGGATGGACCGTCAAATACGAAGACTTTGGCAGTCCAACTGAATGGGGCGATGATGGAGAGGTCGCAGATCTTGTCAGCGGTTATGGCATTTCCGGAGTGGTCAAGCCGCTGTTCAGGACCCGGTACAGCAGCAGCGAGGTCATTTTTGTGATTGAGATCAACGAGCAGTATTACATCTACGATGGACAGAGTGGACGGGTGCAGCGAATTGTTACGCCGACGGATCTGACCGAGATTGTGGAATTTATCAATGAGCAGGGTTGGTTCAGGCTCGAGACTGAGGATCTCGGATGATGATCGAAGTTGTGCATAGTATCGAATCTATTTTGCAGTCATATGTACGGCTGTCAATCACATCTAGGAGATATAATGTAATTGATTGAGACACTTTATGGAAAGTACAGTGTAGTTGCAAAGGACAAGACAGTCTGAAGCCGGTAACTGCCCCCCGGACTTTCTCGAGAGTTATATTCTCTCACCAAATTCAAGGTCTCCTAAGCTCAGCATTCTGCCACAGCAACTTTGTATGCCGAACCTTTGAGGCGAAGATTGCCTGAATAGTCTGAAAGCTCTTACCGGTAGTAGCTAGAGTATCTTCACTAGGGTCCTCAAGGTATCTGTTCAGCTCATCCGTCGTAGAGTAGACCAAGGCGTTGGGTAATTGTATCAGCAGCTGGTATATTGCCTGAACGGGGCTTATAACAGTGCTATCTTGGGGTGATAGAGCCCATAGCTGATGCTTACATCACGCGCCTCACACGTTGACCAAGGGAAGTTTGTGATGGTATCTGCTGCTGAGAACACCGATGGTGAAGTTATGAATGATTAAAGTGGGACGAAGATCGTTAATCAGTCCAATGGTCTGTTCCTGATGAGCTTTCAGTTTTAGCCAACGAAGAATGCCGATTTGCAGCAATTTTGAGGACGCCATACACGAGTAGATTATGTTTTGGATTCTGAGCCGTTACGCTACTATGGATGACGATGCGTTTCGTTGTTATATCGGAGACCTGTCTCTGCTTTCTCAGCTCACTGAGATCCGAGATGAAAGCTTCAGCAACTGTGGCAGCTATAAATGTAATTGATGTCAATCCAATCCCTAAAACACGTCTTATAGACTAAAGGCGGATCACAAGTTGGATGAATGATGGCGACTTCTCTATCAAGTCTTGAAATGTCCTGTTATAGATGATCGATAATGACATGACATAGTTTTAGGTATCCATTTATTTCAAGTGATTCGTGATATCCGATATATTAATCGCTTGATATCTACGTTTGGGACTCAGCTCCGATATGGAGTTAAACACTTTCGGGCTCCATGTACGGATGAAGCTGGGGAATGCAGCCCATCACAACAGAGCCAGCAGCTCTGCCAATCTCTCATCAATAACCTTCCTGACCTTGATGACGAGAGGGTCAGCTGTGCCTTTAAGACTAACGTCAGTCTTGACGCCATGTCTAACAGCTAGTGCTGTTACCTCTTTACTCGCTGTTAGTGCCACGTCCAATGGCCACTCCAAAACGACCTTGATTCATTCTGCAATGCAGACTGAGCAAGCATGAAGTACTTAACAGTATTAAAAGAGACGGCCATGAGATTAATATTGGAGTCATTGGCCAGGCTGTCGGAGTCGCCGCACGCCTCGATAGTGTTGGTGAGCTTGTGTAATCCGGTTGACTAGCGGGCAGATTCGACAGATCAGCTACACAGAGCCACGATATCGTACCGTAGCCATTCAAGGAGGACTCTCAGTTGAGGGAGGACATGCCGGTCACCGCCGGCGGGTTCTAGAACGTCGATGGGCGTGAGACCTGCATGACCAACGCATGCTGGTGCAATGTCGATGTTTGGATTAGAGGGGATAAGAGCCCTGATGGGATTTGTCACTTGTGATAAATGATTGGTTGTAAGTTATGATTATACAATACACTTTCTCTCTCATAGAAGTCATCTATTGACAGTGACCTTGAAATTCTACTAAGGCGGACTATTGCCTAAAATGGACAGCGGAGCGACCTCCTCTATAAATAATACTATCCCTCACGTCGGGATTTGATTACGTTCGCTCGAATCAATTTTCCCGATTTGGACCACTGATATCACAGCACCAGAGTCAGATATGCCCTCAAGATTGCAGCCACAAACTTAGCGCTTACTCCCAAAGGTCGGTCGGGGATTGATCCGACTTGATCGCTGGAGGAAGAGGGTATCTTCCGGAATAATTCTCTCCCACAAGGAACGGCCCGTTGCGTGGCTGATGGAGCCGGAATCCTTCTGCTTGTTCACATACGTAAGCGGCCTCTACGCATGTTCTGTGTGAATGGGCATCTGTTGCTATCATTTGTGCCACGTTTGGGGCTCTGAATACCCAGCTACCTACCTAATTTGTCAGTAGCTTCTTGCCCTCCATTTTGACTCTACCTGCAAGATAATGCATCATTGGGGTTACACAGGAGCTTACGAGATCGCCGAGCATTTGCGTGGCATTACTACCGTCCTAGAGCGGATGTCACTTAGTAAGCAGATTTCTGTCGTCTTTGAAATCACAAAGATTTCAAGCTTGTGAATTCCTATTCTCTGGGGGCTGCTTCCCGAAGACACATAAATCAGGCTTACGATACCAGAATTCTCCACATAAGATTTCATCATAGAGGCGGGATAATAGTCCATTGGTTCATCTGAGTCAGATACCGTGAGCCTCGATAGATATTAATAGGTAGTCTAGTTTGCCATCATTTGCGTGATTTCGAAGGAGATAACGATAAGCGCCGGCTCCGCTTATGAGTCATGAAGTCATCTTCCAGATTGTAATGGAAAGAGATTTGAGGGGATAAGCGCACGTTGGCTGTGACAATATTCCAGTGCAAGGTTGACCCGCTTCGTATCTCGAAAATGGCGCCTCGAAGCGTCATGCGAGATACGAAAATTGCAACCTATAGCCATGTGTACGAGCAGCGACCCCCGTTCCAGTTTGAGACATATGAATCACCACTCCCAGCTGATTCAATGTGCAAGGAAGTCGACTTCTCTCATCCTGGAAACGTTCCCCGCCATTGCATATGCCGCTGCAGTCCACTGTGACTCTTATGCAGCCACGTAAGCAACCGTTCGCGGACGGCGTCCGCCAAGAGAGTTTATTAATGACACCTACGCTTTTGTGAGGGCCCTAGGCTGTGCCTCAATGCTAAAGCGTGGGATGATTATCCGCTCAAAGACAGTGCGGTTGGAAATGCTTGTATGCACGCCGGGTCCTTCGTGCTTAGTAGGGGTGGATGGATCTGCGCGAGGCCTTCCCCGGCTTGACCGGGCAATGAGAGGGATAGGGATTGGCCAGCATACGGTATTTGGATGGTAAGGCTGTACAATGTTGCATGAATATATCTCATTGTATACCTTACTAACCTAAATGCGGATTTGAAACAGATTAGGATTAAAGTATATGCTGGAAAATATTTTAGTTTTAGATGGCACTAGATAACGTCTAACGTCAAAGTGGAATGCATCTCCAAGAACATTATACTGTATGCTATGCAAATCCCGAATATCGTGAAAGTCTTCGAGAGACCTTTGACGAATAAGCTTTGTGGGAGAGGCTCCAAAGGGCTGACTTTGAGTAGTAAGCCAGCCTCAATATGGCTTATGATCATGTACGTTCGGCTTATTGTCGATAGTCGGAAGCCGCCAAAGATACAGCGGTCAGGCAGACGTATGTTTCAGTAGAGTAGGTAGCACAGCGGCTGTAAATTGTAGCTGGAAACCAATCAGGTGACTAAGTAATGAATGGCGTGCACCCCGTGGGGAGAACAAGCTTTGTGAACCCGGCAGTTTTAACGCCGAGGGGGGGCTGAAGGATGAGGTGAGAATGCAGGCTGACCAGCGCCCCCAAAATGTCTTGATAGCAAGAAAGCCGACCAGACTCGCCTGCGTATGCCCTGCAGTGGCATTCGAGACCCTTTTGACCTTAAAAGAGAGATTTAAAAGCCTCGAGAAGAGTATGATCCCGAGCAAATCTCCAGTCGGCGGCTAAAGTGAGGAAGTTGTTGGCAGATGTCCCTATCGAAACTGGAGGGATTGGTATAGCTCATATTATTGGGCGAATGATTGGCTGATGGTATAATCTGTGGCCTGACTCGTGTTTTCCAACCTGAAGCAGCGCAACATAGTGGCCCCCATACGCCAAGACACCTATCTTATATCGGAAGAGCCATTTATCCATCATGTTTGGCACTCTACAGTTCAACCATTCAGCAAACGCAGGGCCCACCTTCGTCGAACGAGCAGACGGTGCTGCATTCAGCGCCCTGGGCAACAACGTCCTACAGCACACGGCATGCGACCAGTGCCGCCAGAAGAAGCTCCGTTGCACGGGGCGCAAGACAGGCTGTGAGCGCTGCAAGGCATGTTCTACAGAGTGTACTTATACCCAGCTCTTTGGAAGCAACGTGCGGCGCAAAGACCGAAAGCGGACGGCCCGACAGAATGATGCTGCTGCACAGTCGCAGTCACCGTCATCTGAGCAGCAGTCTGAATCGGATACTATGCAGAGCACGGCTGCCGTTACCAACAGAACCTCCCCGAGCGCGTCGGCGCAGGGGGAAAAAAGCGGTGATGAGAACGGTAGCAATTCTTCTGTTGATCCCTTGGCGAATCCGTTGGACGCAACGCTCCTGGAAGATGCGGCTATGAGCAGCAACACTTCGGGAGATGAATTCGTGTTCTTCGACCTGGATCCCTCCACTTTTGAACGTAAGTTCTTTTCTCTCTCAACATGAATTGCAAGCCACTAAGCCTTCCTTTCGCAAAATCAGTGCCAGACTCCAACTCATTGCCAGATTTTCACTGGTCACCATATAGTATACCTGGAATTCCTTCACCACGCAGCACACAGCCCGACACTTTCAGCTTCTTGGATTCTCGCTCGTCAACAGCCACGACAGCGACACATATGATCAGCAATCCCATCAATATCAGTAACAGTACCTGTGCCGGCCGATGTCTTAAGGTCATGAAGTCACTGCTCGAGGAGCTCGAGACTCGCATGCAAGACATGAGGCCCTGCAAAGCAGACGTTGCACTGTCGTTTCAAAAACAATCCTGTATCGAATGCACCCAGGTGGTCCGCTGCAAGAGTTGCTACACAGACCCAGACGCCATGTTGTTTCTTGCCATGATTTGCGATAAGCTTATCATGCTCAACAAGAAGATAATATGGTACACGAGGGAGGGTTCCAATTTAGAGCAACACTTGCGCGTGGGCGAATACGATGTAGACCAGACTGAAGAATGGGGGAGTATGTTGCAGCTCCTTACGGTGGTGCAGCTGAGGAAGATCAAGGCGCTGGTAGATGATATAGAAAAAAGTCCAGCAATCGAGGGGAGGCATGCTCAGCTTATAATGCTAAAGAGTGTGAAACAGCGGGTCATTGTGCTTCTAGGGAGGATTAGAGAGGCGTTATTTAATGTTGTTGATGAGCCATAGAAAAGCTGGATAGAAGGGGTCCAAGATCCGAAAAGACAAGACAATATATAGAGACTATAAACTATCTATCGAGGAAGGTGTGAGAAAGCTACTTCTTTCAGCGCTCTAGAATCTCATATTCGGAAGTCGTTCGGTCATTCAAAAAGGGAGGTCTCAATCACAAGCACTCGGTATCGCTTCTTGCAACTTAATGAGACAACCGTCGGTGATTGACATATAGTAGTTTTACGTGCAGCTTGAGAAAATTAGCTAATACAGCCATTCAGTGTTAACGTGACTCGTCTTTTTTGCCTCTTTTGCTGTCTTCCGTGCTAGTTCGGACCTCTCCAAAAATTGAACACACAGATCCGGTTGAATCCAGACGAGTCATAACGTGACAGCGGCACTCACCCAGCCAGTCAGTATCTGCTAAACAAAGCCCGGTTTCCTTGCTCATGATTTTGGTAGCATTATGGTTCACTTCCATCGTTACGTTACAAATGTGTGAGAAAAGCAGTCAGCAGACTGAAGAACGGGGTACAAGGACTTTGGCCCAAGACAAGCTTTGGCCCCCAGAGAAAGCGGCTGACTAGTCTTTTGGGCGCTGTTGCTGAGCCATCTATTTAGATCAAATTGGGAAGGATCCGGGAAATGTTTCTCATCATGAGTCACCATGTAAGCACTTGTGAAGATCTCAGTCTGTAAACAATGTCAGCTGTGTAATGTCGAATCTCTGGCTGCAATATGATTTACTCCTTTCAAAGTCTGATGACTACTAATGAATGTCGCTAATAAAGATTCTTAGATGGCTTCCTCGATGCCCTCATTTGTCTCTAAGCGATACGGCAATGAAGAAGAGTGCTCAAGAATTAGTTACAACCGAAAGTGAGGTTTGTTAATCTTGGTGCTACAGTAATCTCTCCGCAGAATAACGCATGGCTTGTCATTTGGTACCCCAGAAACTCGTCAAATCCCATTTCTCCAAGAATATTGAACGCAAGCTCTTACATCACTTGATCACATCCAACCTATCTAGCCTTAGATCACCGGGCTGGCCAATCTAATTGACAAACACATCATCAATGTTCACCACAATTTCCAGTTGCTCATGAAACCTTTGTGGGAGAAAGCAACAGCAAGGCGCTATTTCATCGTCCTATAGATCTGTGGACCCCTTCGACTCCCCATACACAAACTCGTATACCTCACAGCATATGACCATACATAACATACATCTCGCTTAACATTGTTCTTCTTTCTCCCAACGCCACGGCCGTATACATCCTTCCCAGACTTTAAAGGAGCGAAATACTGGCCCTTCAGATATTTGACTTGAAAATCCCCAGGGAGAAATGTTATGAACTACCGTATCTCTTGTGGTCTTTATTGATCGAGAAACGTATACGGCCGTGAGTTGTTGACCGAACGATTGTCCATATCTTTCCGGAATGGATAACGATGGCTTCTAAGTACATCACTAGAAGCAAAGCACGTACTGGGGTAGATATTGCTAGGAGGGGGCCGAGGTAGGATGCCAGTGAGTAGAAGTAGATATGGTAGATTACGAGACCGGCCCAGTATAGAGTGAGCTATCGGAAGTTAGTTTATGTGGTCTTCGAAACTCATGATTGTTGGTTGACGTACCAGTAAGCCTAGAACGCTGCTACCATATAGGGCTAACTGTCCGGTTGAGGACTTGCCATTGAGTCGAAGCCAAGCTTCCATCTTCGTTGGAGTTAAAAGAAGTGACATTATGACTATTTCTTTGCTGAGCGGTGAATAATGACGTTGGTGGAGAAGATGCCTCTAGTGTTTTATACTTCCTGTGGCCGCACTACTGTCAGAACGGTGAGCTTCTAAGCCTCTCACTGCTCCTTCACTATCGCACTGAGAGTCGAATAAGAATCGACACTGCTTACATTAAATTGTCATCTGATAATTTATTTGAAGTGTTTAAGACCCCGCTAATTCCGGTGTCTGTTGCGATGCAACTTGAGGATTCGGGTAATTGCCGGATTAGGAAACAAGCCGACATGGCCAACGACCAGAGTTTTTTAAGCCAGAAGTATAGCAAGAAAGGTAACAGTCCGTCCAATTACATGAGGTGACTCTAATCTACTTGGCAGCCGCTGAGAATTGTGAGGCTGAAGGGGAGATTGGACCATTCTGCTAGACCAAGGCCAGGACGGGGATCTTGGACAATAAAGTTGTTACCTACGTGATGATAGAATTATTCATACTCCCCAACCAAGAAAACTCTAGGTAATATTAGTTCGGGTTTCAGGCTGTTTTTTCCATGGTAACATGACATCTCACTTTTGCGGCGGCAGCTACACAAACGACATGACGTGTACAAGGTCGTGGCTGATGACTATTAAAGATGAGTCCATGATGCTGCCTTCTCTTACGCGATTCCAAGTGAAACGTTTGATAAGCTCATTCACATGAACAACTGCTCTATGTATGAGCTTCTCTGTCAGCGGGTTTACACTTACCTCAAGTCGAGTCCTGGTTATCCAATCGGACTAGCTCTAGTGCATGATGCAGCCAGGATGCGCATCTCCCAACGCAGTAATATTCCGTATAATGTTCAAAGGAACATAACCCAATTGAACAACAACCGTCGCGCATAATTCTATTGGCATAATAAGACCATAGGTCCGAGTATTGCACAAATATAATTGAATCAGCCGCACGAGAGCATTAACTTCATCAACCAGTACAGCCATAATGAAGTCACCAGCCAGCGATACCCAAAGCCTGTATTCAACCACCAGCACTAAAAATGAACTCCCTCCTTGTCCTCGTTCTCTGGGCCGCTGGGTTCTGCATAGCCTTCAGTATTGCCAACTCCTACTGGCCACATCTCCGGCACGACGCTAAAAGCAAAACCAACGGCTGTCACCGTGCTTCGCGCATGCCCTCCATGTATCCCTTCACCTCATGCTTCTTTCTTGATGCTTTCAAGGCAGACAAGGAGAAGAACGTTCCTGAAATAATAGCGAAGCGGTATGGGAAGATGAAGCGCGCTGGAGCGTTTGAGCACTATACTCTTGGGAACTATCAATGATTCGATAAATATTGAGACTGTACTCTTGAGATGGCTCAAAGGCTCTAGCTTGGGTGAGAGAAGAAGCAATGCGATCCCGTCTTTGCTTGGAAGTGGTATCCAAGTACTTGATGGACCAAGATGGGAACATCAACGTGTCGTTCTCCGACTTTGTTTCGTACGGAGTCAGATATTCGGTCTTGGACAACAAAAAGCAAACATTCAGCATTACCCAACAGAATGTTCCGGCTAGGCACTGCCAACACATGTTGCCCAGGCTTTATGCTTTAGTCTCGCTGTTGTTACAACTACTGGGCTTAATTTCAGCGTGTCTGTCATTTCACAGGTGGCGTGTCTGTCATTGGACATCAGAAAAGCATATACTTTGGCAAACGACAATGCTATAGATGGAGTTGCTTTTTAGCGGCCTTTTACCTTGCCCAAGCTTTGCTTTCTTATCAGTCTAGCCTGATGGGAAAGTAATGGATTTGATCGGGTTGGAAAAAGTCCCCATTATGTCTTGGAGGAATTGGCTTCTGATGTACACTAATCGTTAGCTACTGAGTATTCCAAAGGCCATACTATGCGCCAATTTTATAAGTACAAGCCAAGAATTGATCATATCCAGTCCCTTGCACATATGTATCATTGATTTGTCAATGCCTGTCCTGTGCCTCTTTCTGTGAACCAGGGTCACGTTCAATGTCAAACGGAGTTAGTGCGCATAAATCCGGATTAAGCCCGATTGCTATGACGCTTCGATGCACTGAATTGATGAAGTAGAGAGGGTTTCATTATCTCTCCAGTACAACCTTTCATCTTAAGCCAGTCCCTTGCATCGCCTCGCCCTCGATACTCAGCCGTCAGCACTTTGATTTAAGCTTATGAACCATGTCCCGCTACGCTGACGTGCACAAGAACACTTCTGGCCCAGGTGATGCTCGTCCAACAGCCCTACAAATCGTTCGCGATGAGGGTCTTGAGGGCGCTTTGACGGATAAAGTCTTCTTGATCACTGGTACTTCTGCGGGAATTGGCGTTGAGGTTGGCCGTGCTATTGCTGCAACCGGCGCCCGTGTTTTCCTCGCTGTGCGGGACCTTGAGAAGGGCAAGGCTGCGTGCTCTTCTTTTTTGAAGCCTGGTCAAGTTGACTTGATACTTCTTGATACTTCCGATATGTCCTCCGTTCGCGCATGTGCCGCTGAATTCCTGGAGAAGTCATCTACACTCAATGTCCTCATTAACAACGCCGCCATCATGGCGACACCTACACGCATTGAAACAAAGGATGGTTTCGAACAACAACTAGCCACTAACTATCTCGGCCACTTCCTTCTCTTCTGGCTCCTCAAAGATGCTCTCCTCAAAGGATCAACCCCAGAGTTCAACTCCCGCGTCGTCAACGTATCTTCCTCAGGCCACCACGCTTCAGAGATCATCTACCATGATTTCCAACTCAAAGCGGCAGATGCTTATAATCCTTTTAAGGCCTATGGCCAGAGCAAGCTCGCTCAGATCTACATGTCCAACTACATTGACCGTGTTTACGGCCCAAAAGGCCTTCACGCTACTAGCCTCATGCCGGGTGGAATCGCATCAAACCTCCAGAAGCATCTCCCTGAATCGGTGCACAAGGACATGAAGGAGAATCCAACCACGATCAATTTTATGAAAAGTCCCGAGCAAGGCGCTGCGACTACGGTTCTGGCAGCTGTTGGTAAAGAGTGGGAGGGCAAAGGCGGGAAGTACCTTGAGAACTGTCAACCATCTATGCCACACCCGTTGATCCCAGGTATGATGGGGTATAAGGATTACGTCTATAATTCAGAAAAGGAGAACCGAACTTGGGAGCTTACTTTGGAGACCTTGGGTCTCCAGGAGACGTCCTAGGGAATGGACGAATGATGGCTAAGCAGGTCTGTTGCGCTGGAACCTGTGTTGGACAAATGACTTCGAAGCTACCAACGCTATGAGAAGGCAGAGGACGTGAGTGTTGCCGAAATGGTTGGAGGGGTTCACCTCAAAAGCAAGCCTAAGCCACCGGAGTGCAAATAGTTCTCTCGTTCTTTTCATAATGTCATGTACCCTGATCACGTTACTTACGTACTGCTTCAAGAGCATATTACTCACTCAACTTTATAGAGCCGACTCACGGTGTACCGTAGATTACTCACTCTATTGGCACTTCATGTTAGGTAGACAATAGGTTACGATGCTATGTGGTTTGAATAGCCCTTCATTCTTCTATTCCTCTCATCTCTCCTATGCGCAAATAGCATCCACAGCTTGCTTGATCCAAAACTGGTTCGTAGGGTTAGGGTCATCCATGGTCTTCTGAGCAATTACTTTCAGATCATTCATCCTAAGATACTCATCAAGACCAATCTCCTCCTTCAAGAATGGGTTGAAGCGAATATACTTTGTCTCCTTGTGCTCATCTCTTTCATTAAGATGCGTCATGTGCCGTGAAAAGTCCTTGCCCTTCGCGTTGGTGTTAGTAGCAAAGTCCATAACCTTGGACGCTACTCCAACAACCTTGATCCAAGACTGCTTTGCCTTGCCTGGGCTGACGTAGCCAGTACCAAGACTGATAACGCAGGATATCTGAGGCGCAGGGTCTTTGGGGTCAACGAGCTCAAAGCGTGTGTACCAGAGCTGATCAATGGGGTTGTTGTTGAGAAGGCCGCCGTCCCAGAACACCAACTCAGGCTTGTCTTCAGGAAACTTCACTTCAGGGAAGAAGGTTGGAGCAGCAGATGTTGCGCGCGCTGCGATGCTGATGGTGAGCTTGTCGCCGTGCTTGAGGAGAGCATCGTTGACTTTGGACTTGGCGTAGATGGTCTTGTCCTTGTAGGTTCGCATCAACATGGACTCAGCTCTGTTTTGGGCAGTTGTACAACAGAACCTGTCTAATGTCAGCGACGTATTGAGAAGGAGGGGAGTTACTTACATCCGGGCACCACCTTCGTGCTGAAGAGGGGCGTTGCCCTTAAGCTTCTTATCGTTCTCATCAAGGCCAAACTTCTCGACAACCTCGTCAATAGCCTTGCTCATAGACCCAGCATCGAATCTGCTGTCCTGAACTAAAGCCTTGCTGTTGTTGAGGTACGACGAACCAGGGATCCAGCTAATATCCCAGCCGTAAATCTTGGGGCTAAAGATGGTTTTGGCGATTCTGTCGTATTCATCAATGGTGTCATCAACGCTCATGCGAAGACGGAAGAGCATGATACCCATGATACCGCCTGTGCTGGTACCACCGGCAAGCTCGAAATAATCGGCTGGCAGGGGAATCTTATCGAGGCCCTTCTTCTTTTGGACGCGAAGCATGAGCTCTCTGAGGATGACGAGGCCCATGATACCTCGGACGCCACCGCCATCAAGGGAGAGGAGACGGAGTCCCTTTGGATGCTTGGTAGAGGCTACGTAGACCATTGTGAGTTCTGGCTGTAAATGAATGAAATGAAATGAGAAGAGCTGGGGAAGATATCCTGCAGCTGGACTGTATAAATACCCATTCATTCTCAAATTCTGCTCTCTTTTCTCTTCTTACCACCATGCCTCAATACAACATCGATAAGATGAAACTATTGCTCCTCTCAGGGGGATCTTGTCCCGTTTGGGCTACCTGCCATAGCGGTCCGGGCACTAGAGCCAGCTGAACCGCCTTTAGCTTACCACTAGTCGCTGCAGGATATCGCTAGTTTTCAACTTCATCCTGGATGGTTTTGCCGATAGTTCGGTGAGCATGCAGGATGGGGACGGCATCGCCATTCTGTAGCATCAGGATGAGTAAACTAAGACTTGGGGAAAGTTTTTATTAACGCGGTGAAATTATTCGAAGGTAACGTTGGTGGAGTGATGTCAGCGGTAATTGAGAAGAATACTTGTTTGTCAGCTGAAATGCTCAGCGATCGACTTGAGGATGTGCAGGCCACTTACAACAATTCCCACGTTACTGTACTTCAGTTTGAAGCAGATACACTCATCCGATAGCCTGTATAGTAAGCAATACTTGCCATTAAACCGAACATATGACGGTAATTATGTAAGTGGTTCGATAGCTGAAATATGTCTGAATACATCCTCCCCTGCTGCATTATCTTCTATAGTATTTCTCAGCAGTAATTTAATATTATAATAAACTAACGGAAGCATTAAAAGAAAACAAATCGTTTTCTAAACCGCTGCTAAGTCTCCTGAGTTGGAGTAAAAGCGTCACGGACCCTTAAGCCATGCTGACAAGGATAAGGATAAGATAGGAGATAAACGTCTTAACAGATAAGAGTAACATTACTCTGGCAACTCGTCACTCTGCCCTTCCTCACGCGTCTGATTACGAAAACGAGACACTCGATCGTTCACGGCTACTTAACCCATCAATAACCATGAAGCCCTCACTGTTAGTCTTTCTGAGTGATTGATCAGTCTGATACTACCCTGAAGCCAAAAAATCATAAGATAATAGATAAGATAACACGATAAGCGATAGCGATAATGCCACGATTGGGATGTGGTGAAGCACAGACGCGAAGCATTTAATCCCCGTCCAGGACATTTAATTGAGACGACTGTGATAGGGTTGAGGGGTCAAAAGAGGCTTCAGCCTCAAGGCCACAAACGTAAATAATACCGAAAAAACACATACGGGCAAAATTCTCGTCGCCTTCACTGTTGCCTAGGATAATTGAGACGACAGGCTCTGGCGATATCAACAGGAATGAAGCCTTCATTACTAGTCTTCGCTCCTAAAGGAGACACCGATATCGCTCTACGAAAGCCCAATTTCCGCAGCCACAAAGAACCGCTGCCTGAAGCCTCTGATTCGGAAGCCGCTGAGGAAGAGCATGAGGAGGACGAGAAAGGCAAGGATAAAGCGCAAGATGACCAAAAACAGCTCAAACGACCTGCTTGGGGGTATTACAAGGACGTCACATCTTCTATACAGAGCCTCGATGACCTAAGGAACCTGAAACCATCCTACGACGGGCAAAATGTCGAACTGTGCTACCGCGTTTCATCAGCACACCTGATTCTTGCGTCACCCGTATTCAAGGCAATGCTCGATGGCCCATTCAAAGAGAGCTCTCATAATAAGGATGGTCGCTTTGAAGTCAAGACTTCTGAGTGCAGCGCCGAAGCGCTGCTTATCTTACTAGATATTATGCATGGGCACCACAGAGATGTCCCAAAGACCATAGAGTTCAGTCTATTAACGGAAATGGCTATACTTGTCGACTATTACGAGTGCCATGAGATCGTGGAGATGTTTGCGGAGAACTGGATCGCCTCTGTTATCCTGGAAGATGACATAGAAGAATCTGATTACCAGACGAATATGTCTCGACTATTCATCAGCTGGGTCTTTGGGAAGATCGAGTTGTTCAACTCTGTTGTTTATTCAATTATTAAATTGACCGCCAGGCCGATACGAACAGACCTGCCTCTCCCTAGTACCATTTTGGGTGAGTTGCAACAACGAACTACACTGGGCCCATAACTGACCGCTGTGCAGACTCGCTGGAACAACGCCGACAGAGTTTCACGCAACAGTTTCTGGATAAAATTTACGAGCTACTCGATTCGTTTTGGAGCAGTGACGGAGGCTGTCACACGGAGTGTACCGCCATGATGCTGGGGATGCTAATAAAGCAGATGCTCAGCTTCGGTTTGGAGGTCCCTCGCCCCGTGAGCGGCCGTCCTAGTCAGGAAAAGAGCCTTTTGCAACTACATGAGTTCTCGGCTCAACTCAAACCGCCAAGGTGGCACCAGGATGATTCTCGTCTTGGTTATTGTTGTTTGTTCTCAACCAGAACACAACCCTGGCTGTGGTCACTGTCCAAAGCCGATATCTGTCATGGTGTCAGATTCGAAAATTTCAAGCCGGGGACTTTGGTGCCAAAGGACGTCGCATCAGAGGGCCAATTTTCAAAGAAGGAAATGAAAAAGCGAAAGGGCAGCAGTAATGATCTTTTCCGAGGGTGGAGAAGAGCTTGATTCCCAATTGCTTTGGAGGTAGGCGCCATTGCAATACAGTATTTATGAGAACATAGACACCTTGCCCAACAAGAAAGGCATGATGCCAATTGAATCGCAAAACATGCAAAAAATAAGACAGCGAGGCCCACATCGAGAGCCGCAGCTGCTGTCCCAGCTTTACTTAGCTACTTAGCCGGTTTGCCCGATTCCGTTGCGAACCAGGAAGGGCATTCGGTCTTGCGTATTGACGATTAGCAGGCTGATGTAAGATGTTGGATCGGCAATGACTCTTCGGTGAGACCGATACGGGAAATGGGGGATTAATCCTTCAGACCCACTGCCCGATCAGTATTTAAACCCGTGATAAGACTTGAATCACTAAAATATTACGATGCTCCGATACTAGCTATAAATCTTTAATAATGCCCAAGAACAGACCATCGAAAGAGAAGAGAGACCAAGCGAAAACGGAAGAGAGACGTGCCAGAGGAATAGAAAAGGAAACCAAAGAAAATGACCGCGCGAACGCAGTCGCTGAAGACGACACCCTCGACTTTGGTGCAAAGATTGACCGTTTAGCAGAGATACGAAATTGGTTCTGCGCAGATACAACTACTGTCGATCGATACATGTCAGATGAGCTTTCAATGACTGATGCAGTCGACATTCTGGCAAAGCCAATAGATGAGGCATACTCAACTGCAAACGCGGGCACAGAATATTTTCGACAAGAGAGGGTCGCTCGAATACAGCGAAAGTATCATAGTCCCGAGAAGGCACTCGAGCTTTGGGGGCCTGAGCAAGATTGGCCTGAACCTGAAAATGAGCGAGACCACTCTGGAAACGCTGAAATGTTGCTATGGAATCTATGGTACTCCATTCTTCACACAGCAAAGAAAATACCCTTCACAGAAGAAGCTCGACAGAAGAAACTAGTTGATCTTGTCAGAGCACTCAAAGCCCGACCAAATCCCCCAGAACCAGTACCAATGACAATCCCCCTCAAAAGAGACTGGGTCTGGCAACTGGGTACTGTTTGGAGCGACCTGATTATTATGAGCGCCTCCATCACCGAAGTGAGGAACGACTCCTGTGGATGCGGAGCCGGTTGGTCATGGCCAGAACAACAAGCGGAGCAGAACCTGAATGCGTTGTACGCTCGACTGACTGCCAGCGGAGTAGCAAACATACAGGTCCAAGGAGAAATATGTGCTGTCGATGCGCTGGAAAAAGCCCCGACGCCATGGTATCGGCGTGTATCACCACCACCAGACCATGAGATTCTTAGTCACTACGTCACTTGCGCTGCGCTGTGGACTATCATTGCTGGGCAGGAGGTTTATGCTAGGTATCCGCATACGAGAGATGAGAGGGATATCGAGGTGGTGGAAAGGATATTGGAGTTTAGGGACAATGAACTCCCGTGGAACAGATCACGGAAGAGGTATAAAGGCCGGGCGAGATGGGAGACGGCACGAAGGGAATTTGCACGGAGGAGGTTTGAGGCTGAGTCCAATAACGAGGATCTATCGCCCGAAGTTCGAGACTTGGCTGGACGAGCTGCAACGGCAATGGCTGGGATTGTCTGGCAAAAGCAGGATGACAAGTAATTGGTCTCTTGGATAAGTAATCGTTTACGCGTTATCGCCGCCTCAAAGTGGGGATGTAAAACAAGCTCGGTTGAGAAACGTGCCTACGATGCGGGGTACCACAGGACAAGACAACAAGACCAATAATAGCAACAGAAGAATGTAAGAAGATGCATATTCACATGAGATAAATGCATGTATTTAGAGCACGAAATAATCCAGACTTTCATATACACGATTTGCCGTATTCCGTGGGTCACGCGGCATCAAGGTCCTTTCCCCGACGCTCAATGGGGTTACCGCCACTAACAAGTCTCAGCTGAAGCATCAATAGCGCAAGCTCACCTTTCCCCATTCAAAAGTTGGCACAGATGGGACTGCATATATTCGTTCCGTGCATGAAACTATAGGATTTTAAACATTCACCGTGATGGACATGTTTCATATGCATCACTCGTCACTGTTCTAGACTGGTCTTTGTGACGACGATGGAGGGGAAGCTTGTGATACCCCTCAATGTGTATAGAATGGATAGGCTCGGTTTACGAAGTATTAGACTTTCAGCTGGGGCCAAGGTCAACGACCTTTCCGATTCTGTAGAGGTAAGTTTATGGCATCACTTGTGATATAAGAATGGGGCCTTGTCCTCAATCTTCGAGGCTGCTCCCGAGATCCCCATACTCTTCGATATCCCTATCACTACTCCAACCCAAACACAATGGTCAGCGACGAGCAGATCGAGCATGAGCGTCGCCAACACGCCCGCGTCGGTTCATACTTTCTCGGCCCACGCGCCGAGAACTTTGATCTTCTCAGCGAATTCTTCACATATGTCTTGAACGAACAGAAAAACACGCGAGAGAATCTCTACAAAGATGATCCAGCCTTCATCACTCAAGACATGATTAAGACTGAGGAGTTCCAAGGCAGTATCGCTCAACTCCGTGAAGATGTTAAGAATATCTCCAAGAAGCTATCGACCAACTCTATTCCGTTTTGGTCGCCGAGATATAATGCTCATATGAACATGGATACTGCTATGCCTAGCATCATCGGATGTAAGTAGAGTTCACACGCTGGTGAACGTTGCTGATGGGATGGGATGTAGATATGGCGGCTATGATGTATAACCCTAACAACGTTGCCACAGAGGCTAGTCCCTACACTACTGGCGTTGAGCGTCAAGTCGGGGAAGACCTGTGCCGCATGCTGGGCTATGGCTATGGTGTTGGTGGTGAGGACTCTGATGTTGTGCCATGGGGACACATTACCTGCGTCAGTAAACTCGTCCTGTGTCGTGATGATGTTTAACAATATTGCAGGACGGTTCGGTCGCCAATCTTGAAGCTATCTGGGCGAGTAAGTCTATGATTCTCCCTATTTTCACTTTGCTTGTCTCACCGATGACTTAGTTCGAAACCTCAAGTTCTACCCGCTATCACTTAAGCTCGCCATGGCCGAAGGTGCACCACTCAACTTCCTTACCCGTATTAAGCCGCCCTTCAAGGTCACCACGTGCAAGGGAGAGGACAAGACCTTCAACGAGTTGTCTACTTGGGAACTTCTCAACCTGAAGCCAACCGCTATTCTCCAGATCCCCACTCGCTTGACGAGCGAATATGCCATCTCCGCCACTTTCTTACAGACTGCTCTGCACGATTATCTGATTCAGACTGTCGGAAAAGAATATGTCGACCAGAAATTTGGCATCACCAAGCCTGCCAAGTTCTTCGTCAGTGCTACGAAGCATTACTCTTGGCCAAAGGGTGGAGGTAAGCAAACCGTCTCGTGGGTTACAGCAGGCTTGCTAACAATATGCAGCTATCTCTGGTCTCGGTTCCGATAACTTTGTCGACATTGCCGTTGACGAAGAAGCCCGTATGGACATCTCCAGCCTCCGCGCGCATCTTGAGTCTTGCATTGAAGGTGACGATGAATCTCAGTACACACCCGTCTTTGGCGGTGTCGTCATCATCGGATCGACTGAACATGGTGCCTGCGATCCGCTTCGTCAAGTCGTGGAGCTTCGCGAAGAATTCCAAGCTCGTGGTCTGTCGTTCGCCATCCACTGTGATGCTGCGTGGGGAGGTTACTTCTCGTCCATGATTGAGCGCAGGATGTTCGCTCCCATTCCTGGTGGAGATCTGCCGTTTGTGCCCAAGTTGGCTATCCAGCCTTATACGAGGGAACAACTTGAGTGTCTGCCTTTTGCTGACAGCATCACAATCGATCCTCACAAGTAAGTCCACAGGCTCCATGGAAGATTTGTTCTAATAATGGCCGATAGGTCTGGTTACATCAATTACCCTGCCGGTGGCCTTTGCTATCGTGATCAGCGCATGCGCTACCTCATCACCTGGACCAGCCCGATTGTTTACCATCAAGGTGACGATAAGGGAAGTATGGGCGTATATGGTGTTGAGGGAAGCAAGCCCGGAGCTGCAGCAGTGGCTACATGGTTGACGCACAAGACTCTCGGGCTTGAGGTTGACGGGTATGGTAGACTCCTCGGAGAAGCCATCTTTACCTGCACCAAGGTTTGCGTCACCAATAATCCCAACAGCATCTATACTCACGCTCTCGCAGCTCTACTGTCACTGGGCTACTTTGACCAAGCCTGAAGATGACCTGATCGTCGTACCCCTCATTAGACTACCCATTGAGCGCAACGGTGGCTCAGCTGAGGATGTTGCGAAAGAAAAGGAACGAATCCGCGAAAAGATCCTTGGAGTCAGCAATGAGGATCTGTTCAAGGACGAAGAGACTTGGGAGCTTCTCGAAACTCTCGGCGGCGATCTAATGATCAACGCCTTCGCTTGCAACTTCAGGATTAACGGGAAGGCTAATACCGACATCGTAAGTTGTATCACTGTCGACTTGGTGCATATACTGACGAACATCAGGGAGAGGCCAACTACCTCAATCAACGTATCTTCCAGCGCCTCTCCTACACCATTGAAGATGATAAGACGCCAATCTCTGATCGACCTCTGTTCCTGACCTCGTCCTCATTTGGTGAAAAGCCTTATGGCAAGTGTTTGACCAACTTCAAGCAACGTCTTGAACTTTCAAACAAGGAGCATACTGCCCATGGAGACCTGACATTCTTGGTCAATGTTACGATGAGTCCTTGGCCT